GATACGTTTTAGATTTCACTGCACTCATTTTCCACTATTTAATAATAAACTTTGTATCGACGTAGTATCGCCATCAAGTTACAATTCAGAATGACTCCAATTCCTGCAGGCACAACATTTATATCGGCGTGAACGAAAGTCTCGAATGTTCCCGTCAAACGCGCCGCCCGAAACTAGACTGTACTGTCTCTCGTTGTTTCTAGACTAGACTGTACTGTCTACTAGTCTAGAAACAACGCGGCTTTTCTTTGACAAGTGCCGCGCGTTCCTTTGATAAAGCCACCTTTTGCCGCAAGCAGTGTTATTTTATTACGTAATACATTTTTGTAGTTTAGTTACCTACCTACTTATTAAAAATTTTTTTCTTCTCGAGATCTACTCAAAAAGCACTCGCGATCGACCAGTCGATCGCGATCGACTGTTTGAGCACCCCTGGTTTAAGGATATTGCTGAACGAAATTAAACATATTAGGTATGCAGAACAAAGTCAGCCTCTGCTGGGTCCTCGGATACTTGGGAGTAGAAGGCAACGAGAAAGCGGTCACCCGTGGAAGGCAAGGAGCTGCCACACTGCTGACAGGACCTGAACCCTTCTGTGGCATAGGAACCCACAGTATTAATGAGTATCTAAGACAGAAGGACAAAAAGAAAATGAAGAAACAATGGAATTCACACATTTGACACACGCAATCCAAGAATCTCTTATCAAATTTCGGAAGATAAGAAATTACAGAATGTGTCAAAGGAAGCTGGAACCAACTGCGAATCCTAATTCTTCTTAGGACACTTAGGATTCTAACAGGACACAGCAAGCTAATGGACACTTGAAAAAGATTGGAATAAACCAAGACGGCACATGCAGATTCTGCAAAGAGGCAGAGGAGACACCAACACATCTACTAACAAAATGCGGTGCTACACTTGCCCGCAGGAAGAGGTGTTTTGGGATGTATTATATGACCATAGAAGAGCTTCAACCTCTGACACCCAGCCTATTAATCAAGTTTCTTGATGAAATAGGACTCACGGATGTGTTTAGGCAGAGAACGTGGGATACAATAAGTCTTAAAGGGCGCAGTATATGACACCCCGACTATAACATCTACATCTCCACACACACACACACACACACGCGCGCGCGCGCACACATAATATTACCTCTCTTTCAGTGTATAATAAAAATGTGTATAAACAATCGGTAGTCACCAGTGATAAGAAAAGCATGTATTTAATTTGTATTTTAATAAATTCTATTACTTCAATTTTTACAGCGATCTGCGCTGAGTAAAACATTATTACACAACAATTTAAAAAAATCAATCCAACTGTAATAACTTTTTATTGTGTTATTTCAAGGCAAACATTTCCCATTGTTAGACGACAAAAAGACAGATATTAATTACACTGGACTACTGGAATAGGATGTCGCCTGAACAGACGTCAATATTTCAAGAGGTTATCTTACATTTCAAGTTGGACTAAAAATTACCTGTTGTCCACAGCCATATATTTCACTGGTTTCAGGTTTCTTCAACATTTCACAACTTTATTAATTTCTTCCACAAAGTCCCTCGAATCATATTAAAAGCAGACTGCTGGATTATTATACACGGTATCGCGTGAACGGTCGTCAAACTTTTAGGAAGTTATCCTGCATGTCAAATTGGATTAAAAAGTACCTCTTGTTTAAAGCTCGATTCCCGGTTATATTTAAGATATTTCACTTTTAAGGGTACTTCAACCTTTCACATCTTTATTAATTTCGACCATAAAGTCCCTCGTATCCTTTGAAATTCTGACTGCTGGATTATTAAACAGGATCTTTTGTGAACATACGGCAATTCTTCAGGTCAAATTGAAATAAAACTTACTTACTGTGCAAAGAATTCTCAGATTATATTTAATATATTTCATTTTTAATGTTACTTCAACCTTTCACATGTTTATTAATTTCTTCCACAAAGCCTCTCATAACCCATGAAATTAATTGATTACATGAAATTAATTATAATGCCGGGTATCCTGTGAAGAGACGACAATACTTCAGTATGTTATCCTACATTTCCATTGAACTGAAAATTACCTATTGTTCAAACACAAATTTTGTATTTCATTGGAGATATTTCAATTTTCAGGTTAGTTCAACATTTCCTAATTTTTTCGATAAAGTCCTTTGTTTCCCATGAAATGTTTATCCGACTTTAAATTTGATAAGACAACTGGAAGGAGCTTAAAAACGCTATTTTGTATATTTTTTGTGTGCAAAAATGCAGTCACATAATAAAATATTGTCAAAAATAAGTAAAAAATAAAACTTTTGGCTGTTTCTCCTTATCTAATGTAAGATATGAATCTAAGTAAGATTTCTTGGTTCTATAAGTGCTGACAAATATGGCGCCTCGAGAAAGTTAGCCCTTACTCATGAGAATTAAAAAATGTTTATCGTCCAAAATCGTCGTCTCAATTAAATAAAAATTCCCTATCTTTTACAATATTTGTCGTTTTATCCCTTGCTATGGGGGATCGTGAAGCCACTGCTGCAGGGCCGCTTCTGCCTGTATGAGTCGATGGTCTTCTGGTGGCATAGTCGTCGGCGATCGACGCACTGTACGAGCCCAGCGAAACTAAGACAGTTAGAAATAGATAACATTAGAACATGATCAGAGTTTATTGGTACGTAAATATTTTTCACTGCCAAATTTAACACGTAACTGTATTTCTTGAATCTTCCGCAGAACTGTTTGTAACTTAATTTTTCACACACTCACACACACACATTTCTGGACAATATTATTCGACCCAGTATTAAAACTTCAGTATCCAGCAGGAGTACAAGTGCAAGCTTTTGCAGATGACTTACTGATAGTACATCTGGTAAAACTAAACTGGAATTGGAAGCGATAGCTAATAAATGCTTGTTTTTGATAGAGAAATGGACAGTGGATAACAAGATACCATTAAGCGGAGAGAAATCTAAAGCCATGTATATATATCACTAAAAGGCAAAGTTTATGATATGAGTGTTTATTGTAGAGGAATGAAACTGAAATTCATGGACGAGAAACGTTACTTGGGCATCATATTTGATGAACATTTAAATTGGAATAAACACCTAGACCAGGGGTGCTCAAACGGTCGATCGCGAGTGCTTTTTGAGTAGATCTCGAGAAGAAAAAAATTTTTAATAAGTAGGTAGGTAACTAAACTACAAAAATGTATTACGTAATAAAATAACACTGCTTGCGGCAAAAGGTGGCTTTATCAAAGGAACGCGCGGCACTTGTCAAAGAAAAGCCGCGTTGTTTCTAGACTAGTAGACAGTACAGTCTAGTCTAGAAACAACGAGAGACAGTACAGTCTAGTTTCGGGCGGCGCGTTTGACGGGAACATTCGAGACTTTCGTTCACGCCGATATAAATGTTGTGCCTGCAGGAATTGGAGTCATTCTGAATTGTAACTTGATGGCGATACTACGTCGATACAAAGTTTATTATTAAATAGTGGAAAATGAGTGCAGTGAAATCTAAAACGTATC